AGTCAAAATGAAAAGAGGCAAACCAAAAGATAGGTGGTGTTGGGAGTTGGAGTCAGACATAAAAAGAATGGAGAGCACTTGGGATCTACTGAAATGACTGATTGATGATTTCAAATGTGTAAGAACACTAATCTCCATGACTCTATTTGAAAATATCGTAAAATGTGCTCATTGGTGACTAGCTTCGTGAGGAAATTCTCGGAGTTCTAGTGAGAATACATGACCAGTGGAGTTCAACCCTGTCGGGTGTAGGCAGTAGGTACCTAAGACAAATGGGTGAGGTCGCGCAAAATCCCTAGATCAATCAGAGTTAGACATTAACACTGTTGGATGCCGGCCCAGTCGTCCGATGGTTTGGCGTTCGCGCACAATACTGAAGGTCCGGGGTTCGAATCCTGTAAGGTGCAGGAGTTGTGGATGCGCACTGCTGATGAGTCCCGTGCCAGGACGAAACAGCCATCCAGTGCTTGCAGGTTTCTAATGGTGGTCTAATAATGATTGATTGATGATTTCGAATGTGTGAAAAGGAGAGCTAAAGAAATGACAGATTCAATATTACAGATCATTTGCCTGTACTCCACGAGGGACAGGATGCGTAAATAACTAGGTAAGCGCTAATCCAAAAATGCAATTATCAGTCTTTTTCTTTGAAACCAAACATGATAAACTTTGATATTATTGTGCATTAATTGACATATCTAAAAAAAATTTTATTTTAGGTACTATGTGATTCATTGACAATATTTCTCACCGTGTATAAAAATTTTTATCTGTCAATAAAACTAATTTATTCAAAGAATAAATCACCAATATTGCAGAGAAAAATAATGTTATTGCGAATTTCTGTCAAAAATGTCATTAACTACATTTTTTAAGTCTTTCTGTCTCAACACTTTCAAATAAATAATTGGATTCTGTTGTCCAATGAAATCAATTATCCTGTATTGTGGCCTGTAAAATGAACGTACACAATTAAAAACAAACAAACATTCAGCATACAATGCACCATTTGTGTTTTGATTATGTAATAATATATTATCATTATAAGGTTGTGGCGATTGTTGAGTTTCATTGAAATCTTGAGTCAGTCAACTTTGTCGAGTTTGAAGCAGTACCTATCGAGGAGAACTTGTGGGGTCCATTTATCTGCGTGTTCGGATAGCTCGGTAATTAGCTCGTCTAGACAATCGTCACTAAGTAGCGTCTGACGGTTTATAAATCAGAATGCGAATTCGAAGTATAAATACGTTTATATTTTGGACACACCACATAGCGAAGTTGAAAAGCAGCGAAAGAATGAGCGAACGAAGCGAACGAAAATATGGTAAGCGGTTATTAGCAAAGAGTAGCAAAATAGTACATTAAGAGCAGGTGTACGATATGAAAACGTAATACAAATGCTGCAAAATATTTAATATCGTTTAGGCATGACAGTTTAGACGGAATTGAGTAATCGTATAGACATTACGGTAAGGCTCATCGATAAATTGAGTGGCTGCAGATAGATGAAGAAATTACGGTCGAGATTATCGTGGAAAAATTTGAAGAATAAAGTTGCGTACAAATGCGATGCATGGACATTAAATGCATATCGAGAACATGAGTTACTACCATTGAGTATATGACTCCTAACTTATGTATATTATAGCGTTGCAGACCGTTGCCAGCGTTGGGGTAGTCGAAAACATGCGAATATCAGCGTGAAGGAGGTTCAATCGACTGCTTGAACTGCTGCTTCGTGTGCAGGTGCGTATGATCATAACATCAATTTACTTAGCAGGTTGAAAGATTTTCGAGGTACGAGCAGCTGATGAGTACATAGAGGATATCTCCAATGCGATAATCGTATAGCCACGAAAATATTAATGGACAATAATTGTCATTGAGCCATTGCGTTGATAAGCGATTCGAAACATAATAATGCGATACGGCAGAATAAATGGAACGAACTCACCTTAATCATGAACGTCCTTCGTGGTATCGAAAGAAGTAAAATAATGTTTATGAAATAATTGTCATGAAATAAGAATATGATAATGATACTAATCCACACAATGGTTATATAATCCACAATAGTAATTCGTATCGAAATACTTATTGTCAGTAATATTGTGGACGCGTTCGATTCGTGGTCGTAGTTTTCGGGATTACTAATCGGTGATTGCGTTCGATTCTACGTCGAAATTACCAATTAGTTGGAAGCGTTCGATTTCTCGTCAGTATCAGGAAACATCCTGAGAACGTCGGGCTTACCAGTTATGTGGTGACCATTTTTGTTGACGTCGTGATCGCCATTTGTGTACACTGGCGAGCGAATGCGCGGAAGAATGAACGAAGCAGCGAATAAAACGAAGTGGAGAAGGCTAAGGGCCAACTCCCAGGATTACAATGCGAACGAATGGACGAAGCGCATTGGAGAAGACTAAGAGCCAACTCAAAGAGATAGAGCGTGATTAAGAATATATTGTCGGACAAATATAAGACAGACATGCAACAAGCGAAATAGGCACACATGAATAAAAGCGACGAATATTTGGCAAGGTCAAATAACAAGTGGGACACATCATGTAAGCTCATACAAACCAGACAATAATAAGAACGAATGGGTACATATAAATTGTTGCTATGCGAATGGCTTGGTTGAATAAATTAATCGAAAGGGCTTAACCAAGTTAGATGTAAGCGAACTGGAATATATGTTGAGGCACTACAAACTAATGGGATTGTGCAACACAGTGGGTTGATCGAAGTTAGATAATAACATTGTTGGATACCGGTTTAGTTGTCTAGAGGATAAGCGTTTGCGTGCGGAACCGAAGGTCCTGGGTTTGATTACTACGAGCGAAGTTCGTGTATGTGCAATGCTGATGAGTCCCGTACCAGAACGAAACAGCCGTTCAGTGCTTCCAGGTTTTTAATGGTGGTTTGACTTTGATCGATATATGATTTCAGTAATCTACGGATAAAAACACATCTCTCCTTAAAAATATTTCGACAAACGACATTTGTATCATTACGCATATCGATATATCATAACAACGGTAAATGACATAGTTTATCAGAAGAAATCGATCTAGAGAGTCCGGTGACTTAATCCCCGAAAATACCTAACTAGTTATGAACAGTTAAAAACAGAAAATTCCATCATTTGAACAAAAATCCTAATGTCCCGAGAAATTAAAATCGTAGTAAAATAAGTCTGTTTATAAATAATAACAATGACTAAATGACATATGATAAAAGTGAGAAGCTTAAAGCTAAAATAGTCAACTGAATGATGATAAAAGTCCACGGGACAATCTGAATTTCAGGAAAGGTACCGAAAAATACTGCTTGTGTAAGGTGGTTATTGGCGAGACTTGACAGGAAATCCTGAATGTAGATTTAGTACTAATAATAACTTGTCAAGTGTATGCACCTGTTATCTTGAAGGGATTGATACTTCATGGTTGATCAGATCCTATGTCACCCAGCTGCACAGTCACAGACGTAACTGCCGAGTTATTCAGGCCATGACAGATCTCTTGAATTACTGAGATGTATTTACAGTGCCTTCAAGATTACAGATACATCTTCTGACTAGTGTCCAACAGAGCGAAACCTGAGTTTTCTATCGACTACTTACAACCACCAACTTACATCTTAGCCTAGCGAACGTGATGTTTGATCACGTAGACTAGTGGTCATATTATATTTTCATTGGTAGAATTCGGTCAGCATTAACAAGAAGTTGACATTTCAGACAGTGATCATCACTCAACGATCAATCCATCGAAATTCCAGTGTTTATCGAGTGACCATGTTTTAAAAATTTGAAAAGACTATACAGACAAGTAACTTTATATCACTTTAAACCAGTATGGTAAATAAGTTTGTTTCAATGGTCATCATTATTGTTAATTACTTGTCAGGATATTCATCCAATATCCTAAGAGAATTATTGACCAGTACCTATTGGTTAACTCCTACTGGTCAATACTGTGGTTTTCCTAGATATCAATGTCACGTACTTCAATGCTGTTCCTTATGGGTTGTCCTAACTATCGATGTCACAGACTTCATTGTTGTTTCCTATTCGATCTAACTGCATAAATACGCATTATCTGTAAAGTTTTATGGCCTAGACTCGGACCCGTGTCCCCAGTACGGGGTCCCGGTTCTCTTCTGGAATCAGACCTCGTACTTTCTGGATGTGTGTAGAACACAGGTTCTATTTCATATAAAGTTTCATTCCTCTTCTTTTACTCAATGGGAGGGGAATGGGACGATTGGATTAGAGTATCTCCGGATCCTCGATCCTCGCTCTCGTTTTTCGACTAAGGTAAACTCGTAATAGTTCAAGCATATCGAATGACATGTATACATGCATGAGTAACGTTCTTCCTAATATTTTACCACGATCTTCACCAGCGAGAATCGAAACTAGGGCCTCTGGTCTCGCGCATCAACTCTTAAGCTCTAAACCACTGAGCCGGCATCAAATGGCCATCTGGTGCTTTCGAGTTTTTGATGGTTTTCTAGTAATAACCGATTCATAATTTCAAAGCAACTCATCAATCTCCAAAACCCTATAACGAAAAAATCTTGAAATAGTTACTCAGTCATATTTATTGATAGCACGCCTATTCAATAGAAAACTCTTAAAACAAATAACTTTCTTATTTTAAACATTTATTCGCTAAACTATTGACTTGTTTGAAGAAAAAGTTAATCCGTTTGCCGCATAAAATTTATTTCATGTCAACAAATAAAATAACTCTCGTATTTTTTTGCCAAACTACAAGCTATTTTGAATGAATTTTTATAATTTTTGACTCCTACAGAGTTTTATAGACTTCATAGCATTATTTTTTTTTAAAAACTGAATGTTGCATTTTCGTTTAAAATTGTATTATTCTTTAAAAAGAAATAAATGACTTTATTTATTGATGCATTTCAACAAAATTCACTAGCACAGACTATCCACATTCGGATTGCACTACGTACATATATATATATATATATATATATATATATATATATATATATATATTTACACACATCTATTTGACATACAACTGAGTGACAACTGGTATTTATTTAGCAAGCAATCAACCAGTAGTTGCTCATCATTTATTATCCGGAAAGAGGATTTATTGTGAGTATTTACGAAAAATAAAAAAATCAGTTTTGAACAATTTCTCATCGTTCAACATCCCATTGAACATTGTACAAACAAATTTAAATTTTTAAAAGAAAAAAAAAGAAGAAACAAAACAAAATGGTATCTGCTGCAAGGATAATTTATCTTGTAGCCGTAATCACAGCTGTTATCTGTGCTATTATAGCGCTAGCAATAAGTCCATTTATGAAACGTGAGTAGTGAAGTAAACAATTTTCTTCAGTTGTATCATTCTAATATATTTGTGTTTCTTTTTTTTCATTTATTGGTAAATAAGTGAATAAATTTGATATTCGAATGATGAATTCATGAAATTCAATGAGTATTTTCATATGAGTGTATATTTTTATGCAATAAACAGTTTGCCCATATACGGTAACTCTTAAAAAACTTATAAATATGAGCCAATCAATAAATATATAACTGTGTGAACGTGATCTTTAGGCAGATTTACGAACGGACACTTTTTTGTCAGTGTCAATTTGCTATAAATATTCAACAAAGTGATAAGTAGGTTCTTATTCATGTTAACTTTGTGAAGGTTCATTATTATGACATTTAAAACAATTAAAACGGGTTGTGATAATTGTTTCTTTTCAAAATTCAGGAATCAAATTGATTGACACACTCACTTTCTAATGGTTTTAAAATCAAAGACTGTTGTTATTTTTCAAACAAACACAAATGGAAAATGTTTTGATTTAAATGAACAATTCATTTCAATTACTATTGGAAGTAATCACAAAGATTCACAATAGTTTCTTATCAGTCATTTAGCTCCTTTCTTTTATTGAATACACTACGCACTCCTTTAGACTACATTAGATGACGGCTAAAAATAACGGTAATCAAAAAGAACCTCCAGTTTCCATCAGTATGCAATGATAAACAGTTTTTGAATTTACGGGATCTGTAACAGCAATGTATTCATGGAATAATCTTTACGTTCACTGTTGGTTATATTTGAAATGGACTATCTCATATTTAGTACAACATTGTAACAAGTCAACTTCATTCTTATCATGATTAGAATTGACAAAAGCTGACAGATTAACCGACTGAATTTCATTGTGATCAGCTTTTGAGATCTCTTTTAATTCACGCTTATGAGTAGTATCGAAAGTAGTATAGTACATCTGTAAAGTATTGTTTGGTGTTTTTTTGTTTCCCTGAATATAAACGATTTTTAAATAAATAATGCCTTCAAAGTATTTATTAAATATATCTATGTCTATGTAGTAATTTCATAGTGATTCAAGATGAACGGTATTCAAAATCACTTATATGTTTGGCATAAAACAGTGTGACCACTTAAATGATGACCAGTTCAATCAGAGTAATCAGTTCAGTGTTATCCAATGTAAAAATCTAATTATAAGTGCATTATTTAGTTTTTGAGTGTTATCATTGAAAATCCAGCATCAAGCATTTTAATTAAAGGTTTAAAAAAAAAGAATATTTGTCAGTGGTTTATTTACAATTATCAGCTTTCATGTAAGACAGGTTAAATTTAGTTTCCTATATTATTCAACATCAATATGAATTCATAAAGACCCAGCAGTTACAGTGACTGGAAGGTAGTCAACACGAACTCTTGGCATTGATTTCGTCCTCGTTAATAAGATATACCTGTAATCTTCAGGGATCTGGTGTTTCCTATGCGACTTTAAACTTAAAACTTGTCATCCACAACACAAACGACTCATGAGTAATATCTCAGATTTCGAGACTGAGCGATTGATGTTTAACTCCAACGATTAGCATCAAGCTCCTTAAAATCTTAGTTCTGACATACTGTTCAGTGCTTACCAGCATGAAACCTCCGTCTAGGATTTTCTTCCATCTACCTCTAACCATCGTATATCTCAACAAACAACCGTTAGTAAAAATATTACTTACACACTTCATATGCTATTTATTCATTAGCCATAGAAACACGACCTAATTATCTTGTTCAAGTTTAAAAATGTCTTGCATAAATCTACTCAATTTCAACAGCTATTTCAAAGTGATAATTGATTGATATGTCTGTCAGAAATTTAAATCTCCCTACATTTCTTACATTATTGCTACGGCTGTACAGTTAATTATCAATAAATCATTTCCGTCGTGTAATTGAACATTGAACCATTCTCATGGTGGTGATTTGTTTCACTTTCTGTTTTCGTTTTATTTTATTTGTTTTTCTGGAAAGTGATTCTTTTTTTTTTATTTCTCTTTGATTCAGATAATGGTTTGGTGACAAGTTCACAGAAAGTCAATCTAGCATTCATCATAATTGGTACAATCTGTTTGATTGTAGCAGCAATTCTTGTAATTATTACATTTATCAAATATGATACAATGGTTTTTATGATTGTAATCATTGTTTTATTAGGATTAGCAAGTAAGTCTCTCTATTGTTTTTGTAGGAAAAAAACAACTATTCAATAAAACCTAGACTGATTTGTCGAACTAGATTTATCAAATATAAACAGAAAATTTTCTTTTTCGTTTGAAGAACATAGTCATTCTAGGAAGTTCATGAAAATTTAACTTACTTACTGGCCTGGTGGCGTACAGGTTATTTACTAGCCTTAGGAATGAAGATTTCCACAGACCACAGTATTGGTAACCGCGAGATGAAAGTCACCGATAGTTAAAGACCTTGAATGACATGGCTCGAAATCTTTCGCAATGGCGTAGGTGAATCTACTCTTTTTATTCTATCAAATCTTAATCTTCTGGATTCGTCAACACTCCTACCTTTGTCTTTCTAAACTTATCTCATTGAATTATACTTGTTGAATATTATCTACAAATCCTAATCTTCACCATTAGCAGCAATTCTTCTTCTTCTATCTCTACCACTATGGGATTTGAAATGACAATTGCGTCTCTGTGCTAGTGTGGTATGACAACATGAACTGATGTACTTACGTACGAAGTTCTACGTTGCAACTGACTGACTGACTGACAGTATCGGTAAAAAATAGATTTTTTTTTATAAATCACTGTAAAGGGAGTAGATGTTAAGAATGTAAAAATCAAATCTAGTATCCAATTTCATCAAATTGCAAAACATTCTGATTGTGCCCTATTTCCAGATACAACACTTTACCTACTACTTACAAGCCAGGTTGTAAGTAGTACACAATAAAACATTGGTTTTTAACTATTTAGTTCATCATCGTAAAATTCAATAGATTCCTTATAAAAACAAGAACAGTAATCCGAAGAAGACATGACCAAATTAACACTGTGTTTTTATATCAATAAGTGATTCAAAAGTTATATAAAATTTATTCAAGATTACATATTATTTCAGGCATTTCGGTTTATATTTGTTTCAATTGTAAGAACATCTCTGATTCACTATCAACATTTTCATGGACTTATTATATCTTGAAGGCATACAAAATAAAACTGGAGATCATAATTGTAGCTTATTTTTCGACATTGTATCTCATTCAAATAGACCTAAGGGATTTTATACGTTGGCATAAATATAATTCAGATCAGTTGGGAAAAAAACTCTGTCTTCAATTTGTAACATATTTTGCTTATGACCTGCTGCTAAATTGAGAAACAGGGAAAAAACTTAGAAGTAATAGTACCTGCAGGTCTGTGCTGCTGATCTGTTCGTGATCTAACGCGATCCGTCGTTTATTCATTGAAAATTTAAATCCTTTATTTATCATGAATATACTTTAGACAGTAATAAGAAATCATGCATGAACAGCTATAAATATCGAAGAACTTACTAAAACTAGCTTAAAGAGATCATCTCAGGTGTTCTTGTGAGTGGTCATGATCAATTAACTTAAGATATATCGGATTTCAGTAGGAAAAGTTTTCAGTAACAATCGATTATGATCATCCAGTAGTTTGAATTGTTTGAAGTTAAAATTTATTCCAATGGGTGTCAACTTATTTGTATGAATGTAAAACCCACAGTTAACTCAGTGTGTCATTCACTGATGAAACATAGCCTTCATCAATAGATCATTTATTTTTGTGTGATGCAATAACTAGACATGTGTGTGTCAGACAATCATTGAAAGCCAGGAATCCCTGTAAAGTTGTTTCTCCCTAGCCAGGTCAGTAATCTATCGGTTAAGTGCAACTACGTAATCGCCCCATCTTAAGGTCACAGATCATCACAACTGGTTTTAGTGTTTTCTGATGCTCAACTGAGCAGTCCAAACCTTCACTTTTATTAGTGATGATAATGTTAAACTCTTGTTTCATTTATCTTTATACTTTAGTTCTATGTTTCATCATCGCATTGGTTGTGATTGATATGAATCCAGGCTATTTAGGTTGGTTGTTAGCCGCGTTATGGGTAACATTCTTATGTTTATTAATTGCTATCATCATTTGGGTGACAAATACTGATTGAAATAAATAAAATATTCCTTTTGTTTTTCCATTTTGTACATGAATTTTTGTTTGTAATGATTGGTTTTATTTTTAAATAAATGTATTCTTTTTAAAAAAAATTACTTTTTTTGTTAATACAAGTTAATCACTATAGGGTTGAGGGCATTGTTGAGCTACGTTCAAATCATAAATCGTTAAATGTTAGGCCACCATCAGAAACCTAAAAGCATTGGATGGCCGTTTCCTTCTAGCATGAGACTCACCAGCAGTGTGTATCTACGACTACCGCTCACTACTTGCGAGCAAACGCCAAACCTTTGAACCACTGAGCTGGCATCCAGCAGTACTACTGTCTAACTTCGACCAGCTCAGAGTCTTGTGCAACCTCAGGCACTATCTTTAATGAGCACTGCTTCACACAGGAACAGGCTTGAACTCCTAATTACAAATTTATATAGAAAACGATATTAAATCCTGATAAAATCAAGATATTCATTAATTTTTCGTATAATGATAAAAATAAAATGTATTTTACACTAAACTGATGTATATATATAGATGATTTGGATTTTTTTTCTTCTAAAATAATCAAACAAATTACTATTTGTCGCATATATTTAACTTGTTTAGGTAAATAGGTAAGATTTGTACTGTGTTCGTGTGTATGGTCACAGAAATTAGAAACCAACATTTTCGGGACCAAGCTAACTATAAACAAATAAATTATATAAGCATACTGTTACGCTCGTCACTAAGTATGCTTGAGGCTATTACGAGTTTACCTTAGTCGATAAACGCGAACGAGACTTTTACCAGCGTCCAGGTAGGCTACCTTGAATCCCCAAATAGAGTAGAACGGCTTTGTAAGCGTAGATAGTATATTCTACAAACACCCAGCAACAACTCTCGTTTATTTATACATCATAGAAACGTCTTTGAGACAGTTACGAAAATAGCACACTTAAAAACACAGCAGATAATCACAGCCATGGATTTTCCTGGCGGGGATTGAAATCTCAAGGTCAACTGATCAGCCCATGCTCGCAAACGCAAAAACCCAAAATAAGGCATTTATCAAGCGAATTTCGGGGATCTAACATCCCCAAAACATACAAATTCCAGATTAATAAATAATAACAAACCGACAAAAAAGGTGAAAAGTAATCATTTTTAAGCCTCTTGAAGTAAGGAGCAAATATTATTACTAATAGGAAATATAATAATGAGAATGCCTAAAACTGACTACACGTCAAATGAATATTACACAGATAATATTTAATAGTAACCAAACATCAAAAATATTTTTTTTGGATTAGTTCAAACAACAGATTATGTCTTATGTTTTGTTTAGTGAATTGTATTGTTTTGTGGTGGACCAAACGATATTCTATTTCAAAATATTAAAAAAGTTATTGAATACAATAAAATGCATAGCGAAATATATCAGTTTAATGTTATGAACACAATAAAAATGTATAGACGTTACTTAATGCGGCCGCTTGCAGGTGTTCGGTTGCGTTTGGTACCAAAAATCCACAATTATAGGAGATTAGTAATCCCAGTTATATGTTCCGTCGTAGAATAGGATATGAATATGACTGTAGTCTATAAATGTAGATAGAATCCAGATAACATATTAATGAGCAATCGAGAACACGAAATATGTGTATAAAGTGTATTTGTTGGAAGAAGACAGCGTATGTCGTGCTATGTGTACAACAGAATGGAAAAAAGTGAGTAGTTAACGCTACTCGTTTCCAAGGTAACACACTTAAACAACATGTACAATCATTTAATAGTAAATGTAAAAGCAGTGAAAAATTAACAGAATAAATACAAAATAAGTTTGTCATACCAACTCCACAGTTTCATTATGTAACACAGTGAATTTTTGTAACACTCTAAAATATACCATGATCATTTAAAAATGATATGCTTGTCAATTGATATGCTTGAATGCTATTACAAGTTCACCATACTCAGTAACGGAGCGAAGGCAAATGATTCAATGACACCACAAGTGTATTCTACATGCACCCAGAATATACCAGGTTGACAGGCACACAAATCGAGCTTATTTATACATGATAGAAACGTCCTTGGGAGAGGCTGTTACGAATACACGTAAACATATCATTTGATATGCTTGAACTATTACGAGTTTACCTTAGTCGGAAAACGAGAGCGGGGATTGAGTATTCGGCTACAGGATATGCTTCTCTAATTTGAGTGTCCCAACCTACATTGAATGAAAGAAGAGGACTTGATATGAAGTAGAACCTGTATTCTACAAGCATTCAGAAAGTACGAGGTCCGAGTCAAGAAGAATGCAGAATCCCGGACTAGGGATCCGGGTCCGAGTCCAGGTCATAAAACGCCACAGATAATGCCTAGTTACACATTTAGGTCGAATAGGAAACGACATGGAAGTCTGTGACATTGACAGTTAGTACGACCAGTGGGAGACAACAATAAAGTGTGTGAGACTGATATCTAGGACGACCATAATATTGACCGATTTAGACTTCCGAAAACAATTCCCTTTGAATATTTGATGGATATCCTAACAGAGCCACAAAAATAGAGTACTAAAATAATACATCAACCAGTGGTAGTCAAGGCTTTTCCGAGTGGGAAATGTAGTCTGAAGGTCAACTGAGCAGCTTATGAACAAAACACAAAAAATCCGAAATCAGGATCTCTTCCAATCGAGTTCTGGGGATCTAACGTCCCCGACAAAAAAATATTAGACTTCGAACAGCTAACAATTTCATTTAAATATTTACTAAAATCAAGCACTCTCATAGTGTAGTGAGGGAGAACACAGGTGAGGGCAACCGAATTGTATTTATCGCAAGTTACATACTTAATTGGTAAAATAGGAAAACCATATCATAAATCGGTAATTTGCAAAATATCAATCCGTCATATCTTACTGGACTGTTCCTGTTGCAAACATCAATCCAATGTCTGACATTTCACTGTTCATGCGTTTCATACAAATCCCATTGTGTTCCCGCTCTTCCTTTCTTGATCTTCCCCCATCTTCTGCTGCCAGACATTACGCTTTTACTCGCGTCATATACTACTTATTAGTAGCGCGCACCACAATAGTTATACAGATCATTAGACGCATTATCCACTCCAGGTATTGTCCAGCTGATTTTAGTTTATCCCGAATAAACGTTTATTGCATTTTAGTGATTAGAATTGTTAAGTTCGTCACTAAGTATGCTTGAAACTATTACAGGTTCACCTTGGTCGATAAACAGGAACGAGACAATAAACCAGAGTCCAGGTAGGCTACCTTGATCAGTTGACTCGAAATGGATAAATAGAAGTCTTGGTATAGCATAGAAAGTATATTCTACCAACACCCAGCAATCACAGTGCAATCAAGCACACAGATCTCGTTTATATATGCATCATAGAAACATCCTTGGGACAGTCGCAAAAGTGGCACACTAAAATACACAGCAGCCAATCACAGCCATGGATTTTCCTTGTGAGAAATGAAATGTCATGGTCAACTAATCAGCCTATGCTCGGAAACGTAAAATCCACGTTAAGGCATTTACCAACCGAGTTATGGGGATCTAAGTTACCAAACAAGAATCAACTATATTTTCTTCCATACTTATAAGTCATGATTTTAGGAATTCGATCCAAAGTGATAGCTATATGACTCAATTAATTAGTTCAATATAACAATCATAGAGTTTAAATTTTACGAGATTTGCAAATTTTTGTTTATATCTGTGATAAGTTACATTTAGTTCAAATTATTTAAAACCAACTAACTGCTCATCTATCTCTCATCAAGTCAAATAAACCGGTGGTAAGTTTTTTTCAATAAAGTATACATATATAAATATCTACCTTGTGATTGTATATGCTGTCACATTTCTGCCTACATTTACCACATTTAAATTAAACAACATTAAGCAACAAAAAGGCGCCTATCTATAAAAACAATGTATATTTAGTATACACAACATTCATTTTATTCATTCGACCGTAAAAGAGAATTCGATTTTAAATCATTCCGTTCAATGGAAAAATAAATACAACTTTTTTTGACAATACACAATATTTCACTCTTCAAACATGATAATAGTTTTTTTTTCTTTTTTTAAAAAAATCACTGAAAAGTTCTCTAACCAATTAAAATTAATTTTAAATTATTTTTGCAATAAAAAGAATGAGTTAAAAAAAATTTCATACTGTGACATGATTAAGAATGTGTTTTTTTTTTGAAACTTTTTAATCATCAAATTCATTTAAGGGTATCATGACTCATATATATGTGTGTGTGTGTGTGTAATATCTTGCTCAAAAAAAAAAACACGCCTACACAATAAAATACGATTATTCATTGTAACAAAACTTAAAATTGTATGTAACAAGCTGAAACATGCATATTGTACAGTTTATTGCGAATTAATCATACGCAGTTCATATTTTTTCTGTTAGGATTACTAGTCAAGTGTTCAGTGTTCAATAAATATACACTGGTCAATATTTTGAGTCCAGTGATTTAAAGAGTGTACTTTTTACTAGAGAGTTCATTACTAGTATCAACAGTTATGTGATTTGAATATGTCAGTGTGATCCACTTTTTTATATGAGAAATTTCTGAATATAATAATAACATTGATAAGATATACTTCTTTTTAGTCAAGTCATCGTTCCTAACATTCTACAACGATGAAATGATAATCAATATGATATGTGAGAAGTAGAAGTGCTCATTTGGAAATCAAGGAAAATATGAATAGAATGAAGAAAGATTTTCTTCACCTAGTTTTTTCATTGTGTATCAATCAATCAATGATTGAATGAATAACCTTGAAAACTGATTACATATTTTAAATAATCTGTTTATCTATATCATACACAATTTCGTAAAAAGCATTTAAACTTGTAACATTATCACACCCACGGTATCAAGTGTTGAGTATGCATTTAACGATTATTGTTTGTTACATAGAGATTAATGTCAAGTCATAAAATATTTTCACTCATTCTACACGTAATTTCTTTAACTTCAAATGAATTTTCTGATTTGTGTAAAATTTATTTGTAGTTAGATTAACAACATCATACAAACAAGAAGATATTAGTGAATTTTCAATGATCAATTAGTGTACCAATCCTTTTCCTTTTTGCATGGTTCAATTAACCCGGTAAAAGTACTTTATGAAGTCAAGTAAAATGCTATGTCAAACTCCGGTTTGCTAGAATTTGTAGCGAAAGCTTAATAAAGAGTTTCCGATCATAGTAAACTAAAGTAATTGTATTTTTTCCATGTTACTTCGAGTTAACTGATCACAGCTTCTATTACTTTACATATCGGTAGGTGCATTCCAAAGAATTCTCTGTCACCTCAAGAAGTCAGTCAGTCATAAACAACATAGAGCCTAATTCAAATAGGCAGTAGCCCAGGTTGCCACACAACTAAATCATCTAAACAAGAAGGACAGTAAACAAATTTGATCAGCATAGAATCAGGGAGAATAAGAAAGATGAATCACTGACAGTATGGTTTGGAGAGACATACTGAGATGATAGGTATTAAAGAATATTAAAATTCAAGACTTGGAGAAAGATAAAGGGTAAATATTCCTTCGCTACCGTGTCACACAACGCTTCTGACCACTACTCGCAACCGTCACATGAACCCTAAAATGTTGGTCTTAGAGTAGCCACAGCTTCAATCAACTGTCCATGTGTGTTGGCCTGGTCATTTCCAGATTAATATCAGTGACCTAACGGCAATGAGAACCTCTAGTCATTGATTTACATAGAGTTTTGAATAATCATTAACGCAATTTATATATACAAAACGATTTTCAAATGATACTCTGCTTACTGCTATTTGCGAGAGAACCATCAGCTAATAGAAAACCAATGTGGTTAGGAATATGCATTAACTATCCGAAATGAAAACAGTGAAAACAGTTTTCTTTTTTAAAGATAATCATAAATTTCATCATATTTTCGGGCGGAGTTTTAGATGTTTGTGTTTTTACACATTTGAAATCATCAATCAATCATTGTTAGACCACTTTAGAAACCTCGAAGCACTGCACGGCCGTTTCGTCCTGGTATGGGACCCATCAGCAGTGCGCATTCACGACTCCTGCACCTCACAGGATTCAAACCCCGGACCTTCAGTATTGTGCGCGTACGCCTAACCATTGGACCACCGGGCCGGCATCCAACGGCGTTAATGTCTAACTCTTATTGATCTAGGGGTTTGCGCGACCTCACCCATTTGTCTTAGGTAGTTACTGCCTACACCCGACAGGGTCGAACTCCATTGATCACGTCTTTTCAACTAGAACTCCGAGAATTTCCTCAAGAAGCTAGTCACTAGTGACAAAAATACCATTTGTTTTCTATTACGCGATCAAAATTAACCCTTAAAGACAACTTTTTATTTGTGAATAAGTGGATTGATAACTAATCATTTAGTAGATCAGTGTTTCAATAGAACAAGACTTCAACATCATAGTCTTGTTAACTTCATCTCATTGTGTTAATGAAGTATATGTGTACAATTCCACATCGCATATGACTGAATGATTGACTATTACTACGTGTTAATCATACTTCATCAAATATGAATATAAACAACGCAGAATCCACGTAATGTCATTTTCAATACACAACTTACAGTTCAAACCAAAAGTACTTTAATGTTGACATTAAAAAGTTATCAATTGACCTTGTCAAATTGATTAGCTTTCTAAAATACCATCCATTTTTTTAAAGTATCATAAGATTTGTAATAATAGATGAATCAAGTTAAAACAAAATTTGCTAGCAAACACACTGCAATAGTTTCAAAAAGAGATAGCTCTACCTCGTTGAAAAACCAGAACTGGTGGGTATTTTGGCAGTGTGAAAATAATACACTGAGTAAAAGGAACTAAATGGAAAACATCTACTGTAGATAGTCTATCAACCCTATTTTACAAATATCAGATGGAAAATAGAACCGATCTAATAAGATCAACTTTTCTACACTTATGTATAATTTCAACTTCTCTAAATTTACGACCAGGGATTTTCGTTGTTGAATTTATTAGCCATTTCATCAACGGTCAGACAGAAACCAATTTTACGTGCTTGACACTTTCTTATTTCATAGACACAGAATATAAAGTTATTTTATGTTTTATAGTATTCTATATAGTCTGTCACATGGTTTATATCATATTCATACAAATGTATATTTATCTATAAATGACTAAACCATTTTTACCAGAAATCATCAACAACAACGTACTGTAAGGGAGGACAAAGCAGATTCTAGCTGAGGAAGAAATTAGGAAAAAACACTGGAGATGGATAAGATGTACATTGCGGAAATCACCCTACTGCTTCACAAGGCAAATCCTAACTTGGAAATCCCAGAATCAAAAGAAAAGAGGTAGACCATAGAACATACTGAGCTAAGAATAGAGAACCAACATTAAAAGAATAAATAGTGATTGGGTAGAAATGAAATGGCAGGCCTAGGAAAGAGTTGGTTGAAGAATGCTGGTCGGTGGCCCATGCTTTATTAGAAATAGAAAGGCACTTTTTGAATGGCACTTATATATCAATGATCGATCTTGACTTATCAGTTTCAGCAATCGTCGGAATATTGTAACATCTCAACAGTGATAGTGAACCGTTAATACGTCATTATTGAATAAGGAGAGAAGTTAAAATTTAGATAACTTTATTTAGAATACAGATCAGCTGAACAATAGAAGTCAAACGAAAGTTCTAACTGATATAAACTATGCAAACAAGTAGATTGTTTGAAAAAAACAGTCATTTTAATCATAATCTAATCAGTAAATTAAAAGATTAAACATTAAGGTTATTTCATTCACTTTGATGTTTGAACATTAAATTCGTGACATAATTAAACAACACTTGATCATTTGATTGATATTGATCTTATTAGCGTTGTGAAACATACATGCATGTAAATTCATAGTGACGATAAAAATCTAATTGGAACGAACCATTTCTTGGAGGTTTTTTTTGTTTTAATGAATTTAATAAACATTGTTCACAATCACAGAACTTTTAATTCACTCTCTGACGGTTTATTGACTATTGAATGAAATTTATTTCATGTTCCTTAGATGCTGGGGGTTTTTTCGAATTGCAACATATAAATCACATACAAGTGTGCAAAATTATGTTCATAAAATCTTAAGTTAGGTGCGCAATTACATATCCTTGCACTTGTATTCTATTCCACTCATATTCTATTAATATATATGTTTGTTTCTTTCATTTCTCATCAATAAACAGAGATTATAATCGGGACTATTCAATTTGTTTACGCATGGTGTTTGCATCATCGGTCAAAATAATTTTAACCTATTTACTTTGTTTAAACATTACTCTGTGTATTATAGCACTGGCAAAAGATGGTAGAGTAACAGGTATGTTATCACAGTAATAATAATAATAATAATAATGACAATAATACGTTTAGATTAAATGTTATTACGACTGTTTATTGTTATAAAGTAGTTATGCACGTTTCTTTTTACAATTTATTCCATGAACTGACTTTAAACAGACAATCAGTAGGAAGTATGAAGCACTGAACAGCTGTCTCATTCTGGTGTGGTACTTACCAGTACTCATCCTTGACCATTCAACACAGATTATTGAGATTTAATTGGTTTTAAGACTAAGTAGTTAATATTGGATAGTTTATGTGTTTTCAACTTCGTTTGCGTTCTAAAAGTCCTTTGATATAACTCGTAAACAGTTGAAGGAAACGCTTCATAGTTTTAAATCGAGATTCTATCCGCTAGCGAAATTATTAATGACAAAATTTCTTTGGTTGTACAATAACCATGTAATAGGAAATCACAACTGATTTGTCACTAAAAATTAATATAGAGAGCAAATCATAGATGGTCGAACCCGGAAGGGCATTAAATAACCATTGGAAATGTCTTAAACAGTCAATCGATAACATTGGTCAAGAAATTGATTTAGGGGAGTGGAAAATATTTGCGCATATTATTTTGTAGCCAAATAGACTTTCGCTTCCACTATCACCTTCTCGTTCGAGTAACCAGTTTGCGGGATTAGTGTATATCATGTTCAGATCTCGGACACCATATATCATTACAAAAATCATGGATCTTTTCGATAAATTTCCATCTGCCATCTATTTAAGCAAGTTGAAATCATAGTATAGTTGTTTATTTTCTAAAATTTATCAGGTTATTTCATATCGAAACTGTCCACAAAAATATTAGAAATTCTCAAATCTATCCAAAACAGACTCTAGTAGTCTACACAAATAGACTAGTACATTAGAATTGAGAATAACCTGGAAAGCTTGATGATTCTGAAACACTGATAATATTTTGTAATTTTGTACAAAACAATTTATTTAAATCATAAATCGATCAATCTTAAACCACCATTAGAAACGTGGAAGCGATAGACGGCCGTTTCGTCCTAGTGTAGGAATCATCAGCAGTGCTCATCAACAATCCTCACTCGCAATAATCGAACCTAGGATCTTCGGTCTCGTGCGCGAACGCTGAACGTCCAACTAACTGAGTCGTCTAACTTCGATCAGCCTAACATTAATCGATTCATGATTTCAATTAATCTGAACAATCACTGCGACTCTTTAACAAAAATGCAAAATGGAAATATACAACATTTAATAATTAATTAAAGCATAGTATCATTTAAGATCATTTATGATAAACTTCGCATAAAAATAGAAATACGGTTTCCTTCATTATATTGTTTTCTTCATTATGACAATTTCATACTAGTTTTTATAGATGTCTGAATTATGAATAAACCACAAAGTTTGTTAATTATAAAGATTGCGAATAGTCTCAATGTCAATTTAAAAGTTGACAATGATCAATTTCAATTTTAAACCATGTTGGTTGTAGGCAGTAACTACCTAAGACAAATGGATGAGGTCGTGCAAAATCTCTAGATTGATCAGAGTTAGACATTAACATCGTTGGGTGCCGGCACAGAAGTCCAGAGGTTAGGCGTTCGCGTGCAAGACCGGAGGTGTTGGGTTCAAATTGTGACGTGTAGGAGTCATGGATTCGCACTGCTGATGGGTCCCATACCAGGACGAAACAGCCGTTCAGTGCTTCCAGGTTTCTAATGGCGGTCTAACAATCGTTGATTGATGATTCAAATGAGAAATATTATTCATGAAATAAAAGGTCTACGTTGGCTGGTGTATGTCTACTCAAATAAAGTTCAGAACTTTAACTCACTCATCAATTTGATGTTAAGTTACTTATTCATTCTAATTTATATTATGCTGTAAATTTATCAATAACTATCAGCAAACTTGTTAATTCAGTAACAACCAATCACAATACTTCACTTCTACTTGAAGTTTGTGCTGATGAGGTTGTTCAGAAGAACAATCAAAGCTTCACAACCAAAACACCCAGCTGAGTGAACAAAACTCATCATATTTATCCAGTATATTTTATATTCTCCTAAATGTTATCATATATTCAGAAAAACTTCTACCGTATAGTTTGAGAAACTAGTTCTATTAAGATGGCATATACGCCTCACTGATTAGAGTTTACACTAACACAAAACAATACCTTGAAACATCGAACATTTCCAACATAGTATAAGCTATATCTTTTCATTTCGCTTAACAACTACTTTATCATAGATTGATGAATAGAACTTGATTATCGTCAAAATAAAGAAACTCAACAAAAAAGACATTTGCATTACAGGGTTGTGAAGATTGTTAAGTTACACATTTTTGAAACCATGAATCGATCAATGTTAGACCACCATCAGAAACCTGGAAGCACTGGACGGCCGTTTCGTCCTGGTATGGGACACCTCAGCAGTACGCATCAACGACTCCTCAACCCTGCAAGATTCGAACCCAGGACATTCGGTATTGTAGGCGAACGCCTAACCAAAGGACATTGATCACTGTCCTGAATGATTTTTGAGTGTTGTTTTTTTGAATTGATAAACTAAGCTTGTTTCCCTGCATATCCTTTATTTTATTTTTTTCTTCTTCAACAGCACAACATAAAAATATTGCGGAGAAAATTTATATTTCATCTAGTTTAGTTGGTCTAATGTTATTATTCGCTGCACTAATTCTCTTCATGCTATCGATATTGACATCATATAAGAAGAAGTCTATATTATTAGTGATTGTAACAATATGCACTGTATTATCAGGTAAGAAAATGAAGTGTAATATAATATACATGTGATATATATATATATATATGTATGTTATTGGAAGAACGTTTTTGTGAACAAAACAGATTATGAAATGTCTTTAGTATTATGTGATGTAGTTGTTTAATTATTCAATATGAATTCGCTTCTTCAGGATTTAGCTGCCTCTCTCAACTGACTCTCAAAACTTGCTTACATTGTGGCATTGATTTGTATGGTCATTGAGCATACATAACATCTATGTATTCTATCATCTCAGTGGATGAAGACTTATTGCCTTATCAATCAATTTACAGCTTATCTGACCGATGTTTACTAGCAAGAAGTTGCATATCAGTACATAAAGAAGCTGAGCTCTGATTCTTGTTGTTCAATGGTTCAACAATTTACTTTAGTTCCTCAAAAACATAATTAATGCTAACACAAAAAGTTAAACTAGACTTTGAATGTTTTTTTTAAGATTCACATTTTTTAGTTAGACAGAAATGTTGCCATTCGGTCACCGTCAATTGAAATAGAGTTTTAATTTCTCACTATGATTATAGAATTCATGCTACTAATCACATAGAGTAAATATATATGATGCTTCTACCCAGAAAAATTTAAATTCTGAACGCTGATAAATTTTTATGAGCTTTTTTTGTTTATTCACGCTCTTAGTTATTTTCTGCATTATCTACTATGAGTAAATCGATTCCCTGCTTATAGTCCGAATTCCCTCCTACCTGACTGGACAGATCAAAAAATGTTACACTGTCAGTTTCCTTTTAAATAACTTGATTCTGAAGATGTGACACCTGTTGCTGGATATGAGTAATATGGTTCTTGGTGTTAAATGTTGTCTGCGACACTTAAATTAACTTGGACACAAAAGCTTTCATCTAAAGATATGTTTCGCTCATATGTAGAATAGCTTGTTGAACACTTATCAACGAAGCATTAAGAATACTCAAAAAAACTGAAAATTATCATTAAATCGAAAACTGCACTTAAAATCTGAATTATTTACAAAGCAATTTAATGCAGAAGAAAGTTAACAGTGTTCTAGAAGGTAGCGAACACTTTTTGTATAAATCACATACAATCTGTGACATTTAAAATTTGTTCGGTTGTAGTGTGGAACTCATCAGTGCCTATCCATGACGGTGTTCGCGATCGAAACTAGGACATTTAAGGCTGACAATAAATAAGCGCCCATCATTAATATATTTTAGGTGGTCGACTGGATTATGAAGACTTCAACATCTGGAGGGAAGCATGGTATACAATGGACAGCTAGGATTCAGCTGGACGATCTGGACTTTGCAAATGACCTGACTCTTCTATCGCCCACGCAACAACAAATGCTGTGTGGCAGCAGCAGGACTCAAAAGACAAAGGAAAAAGCAAGATTCTCCGATACAAACTAACATACGCCAACCAAATCACGCTTGATGGAGATGCCTTGGAAAACGTTTACACTTTTACATACCTTGGCAGCATTATCGACAACCAAGGTGGATACGACATAGATATGAGAGCGATGATCAGCAGAGCAAGGGCTGCATTTCTACAACTGAACTTCTGGAACTCAAAGCTATTAGCAAACAACACCAAAGTTTCAATACAAATGCCAAGATAGTTCTACTGTATGGAGCGGAAACTTGGAGAACTACCAAAGCCATCATCCAGAAGATAAAAGTATTTATAAACAGTTGTCTTCGCAAAATACTTCGGAATCGTTGGCCAGATACGATCAGCAACAACCTACTGTGGGAGAGAACAAACCAGATTCCAGTGGAGGAGGAAATCAGGAAGAAGCGCTGGAGTTAGTGGATAGGACACACACTGCTAAAAGCACCCAACTGCGTCACAAGACAAACCCTCACATGGAACCCTCAAGGTAGAAGGAAAAGTGGAAGGCCAAGAAACATATTACGCCGAGCAATAGAGAAAGACATGAGAAGAATGAACAAAAATCGGAAAGAACTTGAAAGGGAAACCCAGGACTGAGTTGGCTGGAGAAAACTAGTCGGTGGCCTATGATCCATTGGGGGTAACAGGCTAAAGTAAGTAAGTAGGTGGAAATCCTGGTAAAAGGCTGTGATCAATGGAATGAGACAAATGATGCATGTGTCTGAAATTAGATTTGTGAATCACTGAAATTCAAATTAGTTGTTTAAATGTATGTCAATCTGCATTGGACCTAAAGTTCCTGAGTTCGAATCGTAGATTAGTCGCGAGCTAACACTTTTGATTCAAAAACTAGGGAAATAATTATTCGGTCATTCTTGCCTGTCAATTGTCGTGCACCTAATATCAGCCTGTGATGTAAACTAAACTCTGTTACTAAACCTGATCATTTTAAGAATCATCTGATCAGCTCTTTTACAAAGAGATTCAAGACTTAAATTAACTCAGCTTCATGGTTCTATATTTCTCATGCATAAACAATCGTTGATTCTCATGAATTAGCTAAAAGACAAGTTTTATGAGGAGCGAATACCGAGATTGTTTACTCATCAGATTATGGTCTGAAAGAAAAATACAAACAATACATTTCTAATATATGAAATATTCAATTCAGGTCTTCTAACTGTTTATTAGTGCAACACCTATATCTTTGAATAATTGGTTCTTTTAAACTTAAAACACAAACACCAATCTCCTTGTACTTTTTAGCAAATCTTTCATATTTTATTTTTCAGTTTTTAGCTTCCTTATGTCATTTGTTGTTCATTATTCACAATGGAATAGCGATTTTAGTCAATATTCAATATCTGCTATGAATCCAGCTGCATGGTATTTCACATTATTTTGGTTATGCATCGTTGCATTTGCCTTATGCGTTATAATAACATGTGAAGAACAATTATCAGAATGAATTGAGAAAAAAAACACGAGAACCGATACAAGTGAACATTGAACAAACAACCTTTGTGGCATTAAACCACTCATTGGAAATGAATGATACGTCTCACTGATTTTTGTTCATTTCATAGTAAACTTTGTTCTAGGTGTTTGCAGAATACCTGATATTTCACTATTTTGTTGATATATATATATATATATCTCATAAATTATTCGTATGCAAATCTTTGATAAATTTTACCTTGGAAATATTTTCAGATCATAATAAGCTATCAACCCACTGACATTTGCTCACTGATTGTTGACCGATCAATAACAGTGTGACAAGACAAGATAAAACTGTGTTTATATTTTACAAAATAAACTAATCTACTAAAGCATTATGCTAAAGGAAGACAAGTGGTTACCTGGAGTGAATTTTAAAAAAAAACAAAATATTTAACGCTTGACTTTGAGATGACGAGAAAAATTTGTGGCTCCAGAAGAGATCTTCGAAATTTCAAACTCTAGGCTGAGGTTCAAGTTATCATTCCTGACATCAGGACAGTTTATGACCAGAGGGGAAAAAACACTTTCGACACCTGACCTTTTAGAATTAACAGAAATACCACGTATAATTAATATTCTGATTAGCATATTTTCATTGCTAAGTGAAATCAGTCATCATTATGGTGTATAACTAGATATCCAACTACTTTAACATCTTTTCAATGTAACTCATCAGTTTATAAATATAGTCTTTCCTGAAACATAGTTCCGTGGCGGCAGTATATGATTGATGAGTGGCATAGGTGGGCTTTTTATGAATTTTATTCGAATCTGTTTGACGACTCCCTAATTTATTGTGCAGCGCTATACTACTTGATAGCATTCAGTAGTTCGTCTGATTTTTAAAGTATTTAAACACAAGCGTTAGCATTATGAAGCAACTAACATATTCATGCACCATACAAATTATCGAGTATATAGGTGGGCCAAGATACTATCCGGACGCTCAAACCCGAGCAGGTAGTTCTCTTATTGAACCGCACCCCAAGCCTTTGACACAAGAGTCTAATCTACTTGGTAGTAGAGCAACGTAAGGAGAAGTATTCACATAGTAACTGATGTCCAACAATAGGTTCATAAGCCATTCGTTCCATCAGGATCATGGAGCCCATGTTTACCATTCGTTTAAATTCAGGGTTGCTGAACTCCCCTACTTGGATCCTCCATACCTACCAACCCGATCAATCACACTCCCATCGTGAGAATACAATGAGCAGAAAACCTTTGAGGGTGGCTATATAGGCATGGTCATTTGACAGCAGTCGAAAAACGGACTCTCCCCATTTTCAGCCATAATGGGGCATTTTGAGGTACCCGTAATTAATTAAATCTAGCCCAATGACCACAGGTAAATTTACACAGTTCAGGTATTAACATGACAACCTGAATAGCACAGCGCCACCACAAAGGTACCTGGCATTCTGATGGAGCAATTCAGTGGTTTAGGCCTTTTTAATTATTTTCCAACTAGGAAATTATTTACCGTGAAGAACAAGTTTTCTGTTAGCTTCATACTTACATCAAATCTTTGGTTAGTTTTTCTGCTTTCAGTAGCATTACGAATTTCTTTCAGTGCTTGGTTCTCTTCATGCCTGTTGGTAATTAGAACAGTGTTCATAGTTTTCTGAACATGATTTTGGAAATTTGAGTTAACAGAAACAGAAATCTACTTAACTAGACCGATAACTTTGTCCTTTTAAATCATGGTTTGAAAAACACAAACACAAACTGAAAAATCTTTTCATAAATCAAAGAAATTCTACTGTGACTTGTGTTCCGATATTTTTCATATCAAAAACTGATTAAAACAGAAATGTAACTAAATATAAAATAAATGTGTCACACCTGTGAATATTGCATGTTAGTAAAATGTAAATTATGAAGCCCTACACGGTATTGCATGAGGTCTGATTTAAACATGCGATCTAGAATTGGGCGTAAAGGTTCTGGTGAAAAGAAGTATCTTCATTATTAACATCTCCATTAATCAGGTGACATGAAATCCAAAGGTTCCAAAGTATACAGAGAATTTAGATTATTCATCAGAGAGAAATCCATGAGTGTCGTATTTGTACTAAACTAGTTCAAAGATATGTGGAACTGACACTGATCCCGACCGAAGCTGCTACCTTGACGTGGTGGTCGGGCTTGCCTATCGTGATGACCTAACCGAGCTATATTGGCTGGAACATATGTTCCTGAAGGTTCTAGCATGCCAGGCAGGTCGATTGGAGGGCGATGAGACTAAAAGCAGCTACTCAAGATCTGAGGGCGAAGTCGTACTGCTGACTGCAGAGGGGTGTGACAACAGTAAGGTGTTTCCCTCGGACAACCAGCATCTGCAGCAATGCTGCCTTCTCACAAGGAAGGAAGGGTTAGAAAAGGTCGACCATAAAAATGTCACACCTCATCCTACCTCACGGATTTCCGTCTCCGGCGGTAAGGGTGCCCACTAAGGGCTTTCAAGAGCGGAGCTAACACTCAAAAAACTTCTCATAAAAAGGCCGTGCGTGACCGGCCTCAAGCAGTTTTCCCCTGGGCCCTGCGGTCACGCTCCCAGGTCGTTAAGACCAACGCTAATCTATATTCCTTTTCAGGTCCCTCAAGAAACCATCTTCCACGGTGTGGGCAACCGGGAAGTGATAACCGCACTCATACCCGCAACAGCACACGAGACCGAATTGGTCAAAATCAAATACTTCCTACACCCCCTAATACCTCTCTTATCCCCACGACTAACTCTTCTCACATTCATTTATCACACTGCACAGCTAATGCAAACGATGCGAGTTCGCGAAACGTCGTTCCTGATCTCCTCGAACCCCGTTCTAAACTACATGTTGGAGCATATAATGTACGGACATTATGTCAAACAGGGCAACAGGCATCATTAGCTAGGACTTTAGAATCTCGTGCCATCGATGCGTGCTGCGTCTTGGAAACTCGCATACAGGATCCGAGCAGCATCATTTACTTGCCCTCGCCAAGTCAAGATAAAGAAGCAACTCGATTTACCCTTCAGGTATCCGGTAGCCCTGATGCTGCTTCTAGGGGCCTCGCTGGTGTAGATGAAGCATTGAGTCGTAGGGCAGAACAATCTCTCCTTGACTGGATCCCTGTAGATTGTCGCTTGTGCGCCGTCCGACTAAACGGGACAGTAAGGACTCGGAAGGATAGGGACACCCGTCGTTGCCTCTGCAGTTCAGACGATGTGAAAGATGAGTTCTACAGAAAGCTTTCGGACCTCCTCCAAAAAGCTAGGCGCTCCGATGTAATAATAATCACTGGTGACTTTAATGCTCAAGTAGGTAGACTAAGTGAAAATGAAAGACACCTAGGTGGATGTTATGGTGTCGCGGCTCAGAGAACAGACAATGGTGACCGTCTGTTGCAAGTATGCTCAGACAACCGCCTATTCTTAGCAAACACTAACTTTAGGCATAAGGAAAAACATCTGTTGACCTGGCGACCTCCAAAGTCGTCTCAACGTTGGACGCAACTAGATCATATCGCCATCAGCCACCGATGGAGGGGTTCGATAGGGGACTGTCGCTCGTTCTGGGGCACATGTTTGGATTCAGATTATGCCCTAGTGCGAGCGCGTATTTGTTTGAGGCTTACTGGGAGTAGGAAAGACGCCGTAAGGAAGCCTCTCAGGGTTTTACTTAGTGATAATAAGGCGAAGAATATATTTCAGGAACAACTAGAAAGACAGTTTGGCGACCATTTAAGCGATTACCATCCGGAGTCAGGTTAGAATGATATCAAGAAGACTGTGGAAACAGCAGTGATATCTGCTAGCAAGGTAAACCATAAGGCTCGGATGAAGCCGTGGATTTCAGTCACATCCACCGAACTGATAGATGCTCGAAAACGCATCCCACCTGACTCTGAATATGATGAAGAACGAAGTCAGCTTAGGCGCAGACTTATAAAAAGCCTACGCAACGACCGTGAAGAGTGGTGGGTGGCGAAAGCAAAAGCGATGGAAAAGGCAGCGGCGATAGGCAACAATAGACAACTTCTCCGCCTTATCAAAGAAACTGGTATTAGGAACCCGAATATAAGTGAGACCATCTCGGAAAAGGATGGTCTTATTATCCACTCTCAATCCAGGAGATTGGATCGCTGGGCAGAACACTTTAGGGATCAGTTCAACTGGCCTCGAACCACACTTCGGTTGCCAACGATCCCCAGTCATCCTAAATGGCAAATCGACGTAAGTCCTCCCAGTCTACATGAAGTTGAGAAAGCTATAGGAAACCTAAAGCGAGGTAGAGCAGCAGGACCTGATAGGCTTACCCCTGAGATGTTTAAGTATGGTGGTCCAGTTTTAACAGTTAGACTGACCGAGATACTAGGTAGAATCTGGGAACTGGACATAATCCCATCTGACTGGTCCGAGTCGCTAATTGTCCCAATCTACAAGAAAGGACAAAAGTCCCCTTGTGACAATCACAGGGGGATGAGTTTAACTAATATAGTATCTAAATTGTTAGCCTCGATTATACTTAGACGTCTAACTAGAGCTCGTGAAGAGCAGACTCGAGAAAACCAGGCTGGTTTTCGACCTGGACGTGTTTGTATGGACCACATCTTCACACTACGACAGGTCCTGGAACACAGACATACACTAAGACGTCCGATAAAAGCCGTGCTCCTGGACGTAAAAGTTCAGTGGATCGTGAGGTTCTGTGGCAGTGTCTGTCATTGAAAGGTGTACCAAAGAAGTACATTAACCTCATACAAGCTCTCTACTCGAACACCACTGGTCGAGTGAGAGCATATGGCAAACTGTCATCTGAATTCTCTACATCAAGTGGTGTCCGTCAGGGATGTCCACTCTCTCCATTCTTGTTTAACTTTGTCGTAGACATGCTCCTAGAAATAACCTTATCCTCGTCTGAATTTTCTGGAGTAGACCTTCTACCAGGTGGCTCGCTTATTGACTTAGAATATGCCGATGACATAGTCCTACTTGGTGAAGACGCTGACAAAATGCAGAGTCTTCTGACTACCCTAAGCAACAATGCAAGCATATTCGGGATGCGGTTGTCACCCTCGAAATGCAAAATGTTGCTTCAAGATTGGGTTGCATCGGCACCTGAACTAGTGATAGGGAGTGAAGTGGTCGAACGTGTAGACCGCTTCACTTATCTTGGGAGTCTCATCAGTGCCGATGGCCTGATGACTGACGAAATCTCAGCTCGGATACAGAAGGCTCGATTAGCTTTTGCCAACCTGCGTCACTTATGGCGTAGGCGAGATATCCGTTTGCTGACTAACGGACGAGTGTACTGCGTAGTAGTTCGCTCCGTCTTACTTTATGGCTGTGAAACATGAACGTTAAGAGTAGAAGACGTTCGTAGGTTACTAGTATTCGATCAGAGATGTCTCCGAAGCATTGCTCGTATACCGTGGGACAATCGAGTAAGCAATGCTGTCGTTAGGAAACGGGTGCTAGGTAAGGATGGCAGATCAATAGATGAAGTAGTGAAACTTCATCAGTTGAGGTGGTTGGGACATGTATTACATATGCCTAACCACCGACTGCCTCGACGAGCTATGTTTTGTGGTGTAGAAGTAGGCTGGAAGAAAGCTAGGGGCGGCCAGACTAAAACATAGCAGGATTCCATGAAGTCATTGACAAATGGACTGAGTCATTTTGGTAGATGTAGACTACCTGGTTGGGGTCCGCGAGACGAAAGTCACCATTGGTTAGAGACCTTGAACGACATGGCTCAAAATCGTTTGCAATGGCGCAAGTGCATCCATTGTTTGAGCTCTCTCAAATCCTAATCTTCTGGATTCGTCAGCACCTCTACCTTTGTCTCTCTAACCTTATTTTACTTCTTGAATAATATCTTCGAACCTAAGTCTTCTTCATTACCATTAATACCTCTACTATCTTTATCACTATGGGATTTGATTTGACATTTGCATCTCTGTGCTAATGTGGTATGGCAACATGAACTTATGTACATACGTACGAAGTTCTGCGTTGCAGCTGACTGACTGACACTGACGGAGAGTATTCAGTAAACGTTCTAAAACAGTTATTAAGGTATGAGTATTTAACTCACAACCAATTCAGCATTGATACTAACGAATAACTGGTGTTGAGGAAATCCTTTTACTGTCGTACATCAACACACATCTAGAACCTTGAAATACCTTTTTTTTATTTTGCAATAAATGTAGACTGTACATAAAGATTTTAGTAAATTACAGTGATACAGTTATCAACCATCGGCAATCATAACATAAAGAAAAGCAGATAGATTGATTGAAACATTTGGTAGGAAACCCCATAAAAGATAATTGGAGACAAACATCTGAGTAAAGAATCATCAAGAAATGCAGAGATTAAAATTCTTTCGGTGGAATCAACACATCCAAAGCAGTGTTGGTACGTCTTTTCGCTAATTTCTTTTTCGTTACTAATGCTTCGCTAGGTCTTGATAATTTACTTATATCATTGGTTTTTTTGTAAGAAGCTTTTCGTTTCAACTTCTCCTCAGCTTCTCGTACACCTAGAACTTCTTTAATAGTAAACATTTTGCGTTCAAAATGTATATTTTGTTTTTTCGACTCGATTCGGCCAGGTTTTGATCTACCTTTCTGCTTATTTCGTTTAATAACAGGTGTATCAATTTTCGGAATTTGTCCCAGCTAAAAGTGATAATAAAAATATGTATATATTAGTGAACTAGAATGAAGGTAAACAAGAAGTCGGTTAAGTTTTGATGGAAGTGAAAAATATTCTAATAATAGGTGTATCAATCTTATTGTATACTTGCAGATTCTAACGCTTCAACTAGCTGGATTTCAATTTCGTTCTCTAGAAACTAACTACTACAAACTTTAATATCTTTGATAGTAAATGTATTTTTAAAAGAACTTTGAACATGGAAAACTGATAGATGTTTACAATGAGTGATGTTTCTTATAACAATCTGACTGTCCACCATTCAATGCATTTGTCGTGACAGCAAGATAGACGCTTGCTCACTGAATGGAGACCTAGCGTGTATTTCATTGTCGTTGTGAAACATATTTGCCAAATGAACACATTGGTAGGTTATCTGGTGGTGTGGTGGAACCATTCAATAGGTGATGCAGGGAGTGAGTGTACGATACCATATGTGGACGTCTATCGACTACGCCGGATGAGCATATTACCACTTACCACGATAACAATGTCGGCTACGAAAGCATTAAATCAGAACAGAATTTAAACAGCTTGATCAAGTTATTCTACAAATAACAGCAGCAACAGCTAAATATTGATAATATGATTGGTAAATTGCCATTATACAGGAGGAAACATACAAATCTACAAAAGTGGGAAAACTCTAGTACATTTTTCTGGTTGTAGACAAACATATTTGACTCTTTTTTTAAAAATTACTGAAGTTATTCAACAAACTAATTGTAAGTTTCCGTGTAAATCAATAAATTATAACATTCATTTAGTCAGCCAAGTAAATCAGTTTATTTAAATTTTTCGAAATAATTAAAATGTAACATGCATTTGATTACAACAGTATGTGCAGCACTTATGTAAATCTCTAAGATAACATCAGTTTTGCGATTGTCTGTGGTTAATTTAAGTGATGAGTTCAATATGTGCATTTATTCATCGAACATTATGACACGTAATTGAAAATTATTAACTAAATTAAACGATTATTCAGTAATTTTATCACACAATTACTTTATATTCTAAAGAGGATGCTTTTAAGTCAAAATACAGTGGACAGCTTAAAAGGAATGTTCCTATGATACAATTCAACCATTGGGCTTAACTTTAATTAGTTTATTTACTAGACACTTGAGAATGAGCCACAGCCTAATAATGAGGGATAATAATATTACGTAGTTGTTGAAACCAAGGTAAGTGTAGTTGAGTTCGAAACAGGGTCTTGGTGAGCAGTAAAATATAAACTACAGAACGGATTACAGAACCTATTGATACATTAAGAAAACTGAACTTATAGATATGATTATTGTGTTAAATTTAATCTAAAATTAAAATAAAGCCGATGAACTTACCAATGCAGCTTTCTTCTTTTCCCATTCCTCTAAAAGATCTTCACGACGAACTTCGCCAACGATTGATTTTAATGAAATCATTGTGTATGGAATCTATTTGTAATAATACGGTAAACAGTATTTTGGTTCTTAATGATTCTATCAGGTGGAATACATGAAAGTCTGTAAAAAGCTATAATTAATGAATGTGTTATTTTTTAAAAACTAATTGATGAACGACCATTGAACGAATCTTGGATGACCTTGAGAAATTTCAACCAAACAGAAAACAGTTGACATAGAGTAAGGGTTTATGGTACAAAACCAGAAAATTAGTTTATACACTTCTTTAATATGGCTTAAAAACTTGTTCAGTTTGAAAAGAGGCTTTGAGGTTCTGAAACTGTAATTCAAACGGTACAGAAATCCATCCATCTGACTCTACAACAATCGACCTTTGAAGCCATTATGAGGTCTCAGAAACTCTTTTAGCTTCAACCGCATGACTTCTATATTATTAGTGCTCTTATTATCTAGTTTACAGTGATGAGCATTACAGGTAACAATGTCCACCAAGATAGTTAAAAAGGGTTTCTTTTTTAGTAGATCATTTCCTCTAATATATTTTACCTCGAAATACGAAATACAGCTTTGTCGTGACAGTCTGTACAGTGTCCAGCAATCGTTTGACCACTACGATTACAAACAACGGAGCTCCTCAGTATTCCCACTTACTGTGACCGCTCAACTATAATGTCCTTAAAATCTACTGTAAACCAATCGTACATGTACTGAAATAGGCGCAGTGACGCTAGAATCGCTTAATCAGTACTGATTAGGTCGTCCGTAGATTATAATCTCGCCCATTTATGAATATCAACATCATATATATGAAATCAATCTTTGATTTAATATGACGATAGCTTCCATAACAAGAAATGCGATTGTATGCTTTCTAAAAAAACAACTAAAAACATGTCAGTCTCTAGATTTAATCTATGAATAAACAGTAGAATACTATTTATAAAAATATAAACGTGACGAGCTTAGTTTACTAGTCTTTACACTTTTGAGAGATGTTCTATGCTGCACTGACAAAATTTCCGACATAATCAAATTATTTGGATGAAATATAAAGAATTTCTACTTGTAAGTACCTACGCTTACCTACCTACCTACCTACTATTGTTGTTATGATCATTATCACTACCACTATTATTATTGTTACCATTATTATTATTATCAGTATTCGGATGCTCATGTTCTCGATACTCTGCTATAGTCATTTTTGTCTGAATGCTATAGTGAAATATCGTTATTACAAATAAACAATTGAATTTTTTAAAAATAAGAAGGAGAAGAAGGTTCCTAAAAAGTATCTGATGGTATTGAACAGATAAACTAAACACTTTCAAATATTTATGTTAGTATTTTAATAAGACATTGTTGAGGCTAGTGAAACGCAACAACACCATAACATCATAGAATATACAACTTTGACCTATGAATATATATCAATACAATAATAATTGATGAAGCTCAATCGCCTGGTAGATAATAAAATAAAAGATTATCGGATTTGCAACAATGGTTATGGGGTTTTTTGACTAATAAAAAAATATTTTGTACTTGTTTGCAATCCTCTGAAAAAATCGATGTGTCAAAAAGTATAAATTCACAGAATTTATTCACTTAAATGAAACCAAACATATCTACAACTGGAATCTATAAACATAGATTTATTAAGAATATACTGGAGCAAAATATGAAACTAGTAATGAAACCAATAACAAACAGAAATTAAAATGTATCAACACTATTACCTTATCTAAAAGTCGTTTAACTTCCCTCTCTTGTCGATAACGTTTATTAGCGAAAGGATTTTCTTCTAAAGCATCATAATTAGGTTCGGCACTTCCAGGACAAAGAATGGATGAAATCCCAGCAGAACTACCTACTCCTAAAACATCCTCATACGGACAAAAGCGTACACGATGAACTGGATGAATAGCATAGTGAGAAAGATAAGCATTCGAAAGTACTCGTTGGTTAACATTAGGTGAAATCGGTTCAAAGATTTTTGATGTATTGGACAATGGAATGGAATGGGGATCACGCAAAATCTGTTAAAAATCAAAAGTGATTTGTACGGAAATTAGACTAGAGAAGTATATATATACTAGATAAGATCCATAAAAATAGTCACTCAGTTAGTTACAACGTAGGACTTCGTATGTTCACGTTGCCATACCACATTGGCACAGAGACACAATTGTCAATTAAAATCCCATAGTAGTAGAGGTAGTCGAAGTATTAGCAATAATCAGAGAGATTAGGGTTCGACGATGTTTCTCAAGAAGTAGAATCTAGTGAAATAAACTTAACAATAAAAAGATTAGGGTGATGAGGAATTGAGAAGGTTATGACTTGACAGAACACAAAGAATGAATGCACCTGCGCCATTACAAACGGTTTTTAACCAAGTCATTCAACGTTTCTAACCATTAACTTGCATTACAACTTGTACTTCTTCCTCTTGGTTAATACTAAAATCGTCGCAGATTTACATGAAGTGGAGAATAAATGCAATCATCTAGTATGCGAACCGACTACTCACAGTTAGTACAGTAAGGATATCTTCATTTCATTATAACAGCTGATTTATTACTCTCTTCAAAACGCTAATTCACTTAAACCACATTGTAACAATTAATGTTTCGCCATTTAATATGACCACTATTTTTTGTACCGGAAACGACAAATGACAAACCAGATATATAGTCGTCAACCACTAGTTGCATTAACGCACTAACTTTCACTCTTTAATATAAAACCGAAGAAACGACATAAGGAAATTAGAAATAAATAGGAGCAAGCCAATGATTTATTCAGAAGAATAATTTATGTATCTGTATCCTTAACTTCAGCTAACAAGTCCACACCTCCCAATTAACAATCATTAACTGAGTAAACTAATATTATTCTATGGATTATTTGCTTCTACCCTATAATTGCAGCTAAACTATAGTCCTACCATACATGAGTAATGCTTGAAAGACATCTATGACCGAATACTTTCAACCTACATGTTTTCTGATTAAATAGTAATAAATGGTAGGCGTATGTCGAGTGCTTATTGCTCACGACTACCTTATTCTCTTTTATCGCACTGAGAAATTATAGTCCTATACGACACTTTTATAAAGAAGGAACCCACACATTCCTGTGTCGTTACTGAGGGCTGAGTGTTGAGAAAGCTGCATTTCCTTGTTCTTATTAAGCAAAACAATATTGTTTGCATAAAAAGCACCGGATAGATCTATGAGAAATTGTAAGAAGAAACCATCGTTCTTAGGAATATATATTCACAAAAACTACTCAATGTGATAATTTTCAGTTAATGACTAGTCCCAACCAAAAAAATTCCATACCTGTATAGTGTTGGCTGCACCCAGTGCTAATAAACCTTGCTGACTAAAATCTATTGTTGAAGCAGATACTGGCAGCAAGATTTCTGAAAGAGGATCATAAGTAGATCTCAAATCCCATATCTTTAGTTTTCGATCAACTCCACAAGTTGCTAAGTAGCTGGAAAGGTGTAAGTGAAGAGAGAACTATGAATAAATATATCGTCCCTATAGTGTAGAAAATGTAGTTTTAAAGAACACTGACTGCTGAAATATTTATACAGAAGGCAATTAACAAATAAATCTTACACAAAAACAAAATAGTTCAGACTAAGGTTGGTTTCGTCAATCTGAATGTTAGCCAAAGACTAAACAAACATATCTTAGACAAAAAATGCACACTTCACAGGAAGTCACTACGGATCTGAAAAAATTACTATTCATCCACCAAACTTCCTTACTAATACTACTGAAAGTAGTAAATTAGAATGACAGAGTGGCACGAACACGCTACTGCGAATAAAATCGGTGGTGTGCCATTTGGAATGAAGCAGCCAGTTTACGCTGTATTTGCTTTCGGAAAAGGTAACTCTGCTTTACATCACAGCATGATAACATAGCTGAGCATTAAAAATGGGCTTCTGAAGGTTGCTTTAATGTAACAGAATTGTTACAACATAGTGCCATAGTATCAGTCTAAACCGCTATCCATAAGATGGGTTAGGTATCAAGACTGTGATATTGTTTAAGACAATTAACAAGGGTGATTCTGAAGGACGGAACTTTCATGTTTTGGAGTTGATTAATTGTTTTTTGAACCTACTTTAACCCATATAATCTATTTTTTGAGCTACAACCATGATGCAGGACAATAAATACTGAGAGAGACCTGCCACAAGAAATTATAATTATTTGGAAAACGGAACTCATAAACTCAGAATAAAATTACTATTTACCCGCATACATAATAAGCAGAATCACTTATATAAGGATTTGAAATATATCAAGAACTGTGAATTTATTACAGAAACAAACCTTCCAGTTCGGTCGCAGGCGATGGAAGTAATAGCAGTTGGATGTGTGAACATTTTGACAACGTACGACTTTTCTGAGGGTACCCACATCGATACAACACCGTCATTGTGCCCTAAACAAATAACCCCGTTAGAAGGATTCTGACACATGACACCAAGGCGCCCCATGTACGTAGGTATTGAGGCGACAATCGTACCAACAGAACAGTCTAGATAGTAAAGAAACCCATTGTCGGCCTAAAATAAAAGGCTCACTGCAAAAACTTACAGAAGAAACCAGAAGGAAATGATATGGGAGAAATTCCATTCGTAATATGCCATTCAGTTTTTTTAAACAATGTACTTCCAAACCTTGATTGTCATATATAGCAACGTAATTTTTCTCTGCGACGGCTACGAATGTTTCTTGATGAAGAAATCTAAAAAATTAGGAACCGCATTTATTACTTAATATCCTTGCATTCGTTGGAGACATTGATCTCAAAAAGAGGCTTCTTAACCATCCAGTCGAACGCCGCGATGTGACCCGACTTACCACATAGAGCCAAAAATCTGACATATACTAAAAAAGCTTAGCAACGGATTTACCTGCCATTGCGTGAATAGTCAATCGCATACGGGCCATATTGCAATTTGATGTCAAAACGCTAATTACAATATTTAATCAACGTTTGTAATATTTTACCTTCGTTGCAGAACCAATATCAACTTCTTTCACGATAGCATCTTGAGTGATAACCTCATTTTCATCTTCCTTCTCGAGAGAACTAAAGATCATAAGTAAAAAAGACTCAACGTACCCAGGCAATACATTATGTAGTGTTGCCGCAACCTGAGTGACACTTTGTTTAGCATGTTTAACTTTGCGATTGAAAGCCTCTGCCTTCTTCCGGAAGAACCTTTCAGGAAGTTTTTTCTAAAACCGCATATAAGCAAACTAAAGCTGTAACGTACTGTATCCATAAGTAATCCAAGTCTACAAATAAAACACGCACTGTATCTTCATAGCGTCCTTGAGATTTGAAAAACCCTGTAACCAATATCAAATATCTTTCTCACAAGCTAGTATAAACCAATCGACTTATTAGCGCTCGATTCCTGTTCTTTCTGTAAGGTTCCAGGTGTTTGGTAGTGTCAAAAGAATGGGAGGTCTAACCAACTATCTAGCCAGCTATCACATTACCAGATCGGAGATCAGTTAGTTGTAATGTGGAGAATAATAAGGATAAAATTCTAATGCTTATATGAATGAAATTTCAGAACTAAGTAATATATAGATGATTTAGTTCATTAGTTGGTAGTAAAGATTATGAGAGGGGACCGAAGTTTAAGCAAAGGAGAAGAACCAGAAATAATAGGCGAGATAGATGAACTGCGTGATCTGAGGAGATGGCAATGATAACAACTAGCATGTCTCAAGACATGCATCATGAACAGCTTGTCCAAAAGGAAGATGACAATCCGTATGTGAGTATGTGATTACCAAGTCTCTTCTTAAAGCTGTCCACTGAGGGGGTTGTGGTCACCTCGGCTGGGAGAGCATTCCAAGTTGCGACCCCTTCTCAATGAGAAAAAGTGTTCACGAATCTGAGTATTATCTCTTAGATCTGCAATCTTCCGAGGATTGCCTCGAGGGGAGTGGTGGTGATGCATCGGTAAGATGCTCACGTTTGGATGATTTGGCTTGCTTAATATGTACGAGTCTATCTCTTAAGGCTTATTTTTCAACCTTATCACCCATTTCGTTGCTTGTATCTGCACTCGATCCAAGAGATTTATGTCTCTTTTAAACAGAAGGATGCGATAATGTTGTGAACCTCCAAGTGTGGGCGCGCATACGTCTTAAACAGTGTAAGGAATAATTCTGGGGTGAAAGCACCAAGTTGTCTCCGCATAAAAGGAAGAGTCGCATTTGCTTTAGCTGCTTCCTCTACATAGTTCGGGCTCGTTTGGAGGCTTTCTATGGTTATTAAACCTAGATCGAGGAGACATTAGGCAGCGGACTTCCATTATCCAATATCTTCCTCACGAATAAACTAATTGACTACTTTGCTCTCGATTTTTGCTCACTCGGTATGGTTCCATGTATTTTCTTGTGTCCAATGAGTGAGGGTCTAGCCACTCGACTGTCTAATTCTAGTCAATTAGCAGTTGGTTAAGAGTTTGTATGTCTAACGATTTGAATGAATACGTCTGTTTCAAGGTAGTAGGGGTGCTGAATACCAACAGTTATCACAGTATCACGCCGGAAAACAGTTTGTTGCAGTGAGTATTCGCTCTTCGATGATCAATGTCTAGGGGATTGCCTCTAGGGGATCGGTGGTGATGTATCGGTAAGATGCTCACGTTGGGATGGTTTGGATTACCTTATATGTTGTATGCCATAGTCAGGTCACCTCCGACTTTCCTTTAACTCAGGGGGAATCATCCCAAGGGCTGGAGTCTATCTTCGTAAGGTTTGTTCTTCAACCCTATCACCCACTTCGTTACTCGTCTCCGCAGAGGGGGTGCAACGTCGTTGTAAAAGTCGAGGTGAAGGCGTGCATATGTCTTAAATCACGTTAAGAATAATTCTGGGCTGACCAATTTGTCTTCGCATCAAGTGAAAAGTTGCATTTACCTTGGCTGCGTCCCCTGTATAGTTCCTGCTGGTATGGTTATTAAACCGAGATCGAACTTTGTGCAGAAATTAGAGAGCGAACTTCCGTTTAAGGTGTAAATCGTCTGCGTCATGTGGGGCAGAATGTACATGACGCAACACCGGCTGATTTAGTTTTAAATCGTTTGTTAATGCCCACTCCTTAATGGATTTAAGATCCTTTTGAAGCTCAGTCCAATCCGCTTAGCTTCTAATGGGCCTCCAGACCTTTTTGCTGTCTCCGTAGATCAGTGCCAACAAGCTAACTGTGCCCAACAGGTCGTTAATAAATACTGGAAAGAGAAGTGGACCTAAGATGGTCCCTTGTGAAACTCCCGATGTTGAAACTTGTCAACTCCCGTCCAAGTGTCTAAACTTATTTATCCATATCTCTGTAACAGAATAGCGTGAAGCAGATAACATTTTTATGTTCCTTTTTTAGTTTTACGGAAGTCTTGATATACTGTACTAGTCTTATTAAATTTCAATGGTTCAATACATCGTGAGCTGAATGTGTGTTATTTTCATACTACTTAAATGAATGTTTGCCTGTTTCTCTATATTACGGGTGCAAAAGTACAGATTTTTGGAAAGTATCACCTCTCAAGTGAGAAGACTGAGGCAAATTTACACTCTTAGTCAATTAAAAACGAAAACATTACATTGAACACTCTATTTGCACACCATCTTTGAGTCCTGACTTCCAACGCTCCAGCCTTCTTCCATTCCTGCTGTTGCTTCCTTTACTTCCTGTCGGTACTCCATTTACTTCTTGCTTTTTCTCCGTTTGCTTTCCGTTTTCCTCTAGTGACCGTGAGAGTTCTACTTTCACGTCCCTTCTTATACTACTTATATCGTTCGTATAGGTAGCACACACCACACTCGTCCCCCCTTTAACAAGTCGCTCTCTCAACCTTTCTGATCTCCGTACAGCCGTCTTCTTTGTGGCTCGCCCTCTTGGCGCTGGCACGCTAACACATCGTGCAACATCTTCTCTCATACCTGGCCAGTACGCACTTTGTCGCAGCAAATCAGTTCTCCTTGCAATACCTGTGTGCGCTACCTGGTGACATTCACGAATCATCTTCTGGTGTAGATCTTTTGGGATTATTGCTTCCCAATTCTCGTCATCGTCCCGCCAGGTCAAGGCTCCGTATCCGTTCACTCTCAGTCTCTCCTTCTGCCTCAGCAACACTGTTAATTCTTTGTCTGTTCCATTCTTGTCGACATCTTCTCTCTCTTTTATCATTCTGATTACCTCCCGAAGGTTAGGGTCGGCTTTCTGATGTCGAACGAGTTCTAGGGGGTCTCCCTCTAGGCCGTTAACTGCACATGCTATCTCTGGAAGTTCGGCTTCGGTGTCCGGTCTTGACAAATAATCTGCCATTACATTTTCCTCCCCTGGCACATGCCCGATGCTAAAATCATACTCCTGCAGACGTAGCATCCATAGAGCCAACTTCCCCCGGGGTCTTTT